TAAGTATGGAAATCGCTCTGTAGCAGGTGTTAATCAAGTTAAAATCCCCAACAAGCCAATACAGCAAGAAATGCTCTGTGCAGGTGGAAATGCTCTGTGCAGGTGTTAATCAAGTTAAATCCCAACAGCCAATCAGCAAGAAGTATAGAGGAAAGCTGCATGCCTATTGGTTGATGCCCTGCATTCCATTGTGATGACTCATGCCCAGACGTGGTAAACACGGCACACGAACACAGTAATACATTTGCTATAACACAGCCAAAAAACTCAATAAAACCATTCTAAAGGCCTGTATCACAAAAATTTAAAAAACGCCTAGGGGTATTTGCCCACTGTACCTCCATACCAAATTTCAGGACCTTAGGCCCTAAAATGAAGAAGCTGAATCCATTTAAAAAATGGCAGGAGAAGAAGGAGGAGAAGGAGGAGAAGGAGAAGAAACATCAGAAAAAGCAATATGGGTTCACCACCACTTCGTGGTGTGGTGAACCCATAATAAGAACTGTCCAAACATCCTGTGTTGCAGGTACTGCTGGTACTGACAACTGATGAATGGGGACCATTTGTTGGACCAACAATGCTCTGGAGGAGGTAATTCATATCTTGAAATTGAAATTTCGCAATGATTTTATGTTAACTTTTTGTGGCTTTCACTGAAAGAAGCATGTCGCCAGAACTGCGCTTGTGCAAAACCTGCAATGTATTTTGCATAGCGCTTCAGCAGAATGTCATGTTTAAGGTCATTTAAAGAGGACTTCCCATCAATTGTTTTGCAATGTTGTGTCGGAAAAAATATCGTCTATAATGGTCAAAATTCTGATGCAACATTGACCGATGAAAACCATGAAAAATCAGGGTTTCACACTGGCTAAGTAAGTTTAGCAGATGTGCTACTGAAAGGTAACCAAACAATAGATAGTGTTTCATTTTTCAGTTCATGTGAAAATGATATCATTATGACCAATAATTGTTATGTCTCCCACCAGTACGGACTACGGGAAGACTTTCCAGAATATCAGTAAGAAAATCAACAACGCCTACATCAAGAAGGACAATGGAATGTTCAAAAGCTTGCTAGACCCTGCCAGAGTAAGTCAATTTAATTCTTTTATTTATCTAACTTAGCTACTCAACATGTAATTGATAATGATAACTGAATGAATTTATGTACATTTGTTGAACTCATTCATTATCTGTATATGATCAGTATATGCAGAGAAAACTATTTCAAGCCCTGTTCTTGTTTTCCATATGTGCAGGTTCTCCTGGTGTCTTACATGTCGGATGGTGATAGCACAGGCTCCAGGATCTACATCACTACAGACGGGGGAGAGACCTTTGATGGCATCACTCTCGACTTTAATGTGGACACTTTGCAGTTCCACCCAAAGAACAAGGACTACATCCTGGCACACACGTCCCACAGCGATGTTAGTACAACAGTTTTACTCATCATTTGTGTTGACAACAATAGAAGTTTTTGAAACAGGCCCAAATCTGTTCCTAGACAAGTTTGGCCAATCATCTGTTTTAGTTTTACATGTAGCCAAATGTAACAAAAAATTAATCATTTAAAAAAAATTCATTTTATGTGTTCCAGCACTCTCTTTACCTGTCCAAGGATTTTGGTCGAACCTGGACTGTGGTACATGACTATGTTGCTGATTTCAAATGGTACGTATCAACCAGGGATGTTGTAGTTGTAAACACTATGTACAGGATATGGCATATGCCGCATATCAATTTTTTTTGTTATTCTGTGACATACATGATACACATGGACACATAACCAATAATTTGCATATACCTACCAGTAATTCATGTTAAGAGAAACAGTGATCACTTGTATGTTAATGCTTAAGTGATAAGAGTGTGCTAAGAGAAAACTCTTGTTATTTCTGAACTTATGAGGTTTTAGAACTCCAGTATATATCCCGGTAATTACATGTATTATGTTTTTTTCCACAGGGGTACTGCCACCTATGATACAGACAGCACAATATACCTGACGTATGACCCTAAGCACATGATTTCAGGTTTGTTTGCTAAAAGTAATTCCAGAGCATATTGATATCTGTGATGCAAAAATGTGATGTCACTGACAGAAAATGGTTTCTTGTTTTGTATCATAGGCTTGTTCCAGGTATTCAATATTTTGTGGCGGTACCCAAAAGTAGAAACGCCTTGTGTAGCTTGTTTTGGGGCTATTTAAAATGCATCAAGTATGAAATGATGTCGAAAATATGATAAGAAATGGCAGTAAATGTAAATAAATAGCAGACAAATTTCCTCATCCAGAATGTTTTTGTTCTGCCACCCTGGAATTACATTGGACGCCTTTAACTTTTAGATTGAAGCCCATAGTAGAACAGATTGTTTGGTTCCTCCACTGACTTTTGTCCCCTGTGTACAGCTGGTATGTATCCATATGACATGAATTCGGACTACTATGATGACTATGGAATGTGGGGAATCGAATTCCCAAGGCGTATGTCCAGTTCCAGACTTGTTGGTTGCAGGTGATGGGAGAGCTAACAAGTTCTGCCATTAACTACGCGGTGTCTGAGTAAAGCCCCTGTCACACATTCAGAACTACCTCCCAACCACCAACCAACCTTTGGTCGATGTTTGGGAGCAGTCTCCTAACCATGATTTTGGCAGTGTTCAGAAGACCACGTGTGACAGGGGCTTAATCAAGTTAACCTCCTAACCCTGGGGCTAGCTTTTATTTCAGCTAATGATTAGCCATAGCATTTATTACGTCAGGGACAAAAGTACATGTTTTATTTTGGGTGGCACTAATTTATGCTAGGTTTGTATGTTTGGGTTCTGTAGTGAGTGGGTGGGTGGAGGTATGGTTTCATTTGATTGACGTTGCTCTGGGTTGAAGGTTGTGGTCACCAGGAACATATGAAACATTCATGAAGACTATGGTGTAATAGTGGAATAAGTTTCATCACACAATCGTATGAGTAATAATGCATTCTATGATGTCATTCATAAATGCAAACTACCTGTACCAGTATATGTACTTCCCAGAAGTTTAAAATCTCTAATTTCTTGTTTCTCACTGAAATTTACAAAATTTTAGTTGGTATGTAAAACACTGTCTTGATATCATTACTACAGCGGAAAGTTATAATTTTGACCTGTTGAAGACCACTGATTTGGGAGGAAACTTTGTTGGTGAGTAGCACTGTTGGTATGCAAATTTGAAAATTTGATACCTAAACATGTCTGATTTGATAGTGTTACAGTACATGTAAGAACATTTGCTTTTCTTCTAAGTGTGAATTGTGAGTAAGGTACAATGTTTCTGCCTAGTAAAATCATATTGCATGCTTGCATCCAGACCTACATTTTTGTAGTCCTCTAAAATCATCCTGATTTTATATTTTCAGTGGTTGCGGAACATGTGTACAGTTTTGGTCAGCAGGGGCAGTTCCTTTATGTTTCCATTGAGCTGAATGAAGTAAGTCAAGACCAGAATTACAACTTTCTTAAATTTTAAACCATTGTGGCAGCAGAAAATGAATAATACAGAATTAACAAATTTACAATTATGATATTATCGAAATTCAATGAAACAATAATTTGTAACAGTTACAACTCTCAATCTTCACAGAGGTCTGAAACCCTTAATTGCTTCTTGTTTCATTTCAGAATAATTACACCAGAGTGATGCATGTGTCCAGAGATGGGGGAAAGACATGGGAGCTTGCTCAGCTGCCCTCAATAACACCAGACAGGGTGAGTAGAAATAACTTTCTTTTATGATATTCATGCAATCAAAATGAAATGGCATTGTATGAAAATCATACAATGCCAGCCACTTTTAGCCATGTTTTTATCATTGAAAAATGTTTTGTTTGTGAATCTCAAAATGAAAGGATGGTGATTGTCATAAAAATGCCAAAAAGTTTAGGTTTCCTTTCACAGGTTATTAAGAATGCTAAATAAACATTTTCTATTCTGCCCAATCAATATTAACGGTATCCTACTCCCTTCCAGTTCTACTCCATCCTGGACATGTCTGAGGGAATGGTGTTCATGCATGTGGATGATGAAGGAGGTGAGCACCCAGTTATACATGTAGTAGATGAATACAAAAAGTTTAGTTGATCATAAATGTATAGCTGGCTGCATTGTCCACCTTACTTGCACAATCAATGAGGTAAGACATTCAAAAAAGCTGAGTCTAATTAATTATATTGTATCATGGAGTGGAAACACACTACTAATGAACAGTTATACGGTTTGCTACCAAATGTAACTTCAGTAGTCAAATGTCGACGACTAAGCTTGGCCGGTCATGTAATACGTAGTGAAGAACCAGCCAGTAGGCTTCTACTCTGGAACCCTGATACCTGTAAGAGAAAAGTTGGACGCCCAAAGATAACAGTTAAGAAACTTATTGAAACTGAAACTGGCTTGGAGGGACATGAACTTTTCTCAGTGATGTATGACAGACAGTTGTGGCGAACTAACTTTGTATGCTCCACCTCTACGGAGGATGAATGATGATGATGATGATGTATCATGGAGGTGTTTACTGACTACTGTTTCTTCTCCAGCTACATTATAAAGAATCTGTTCTTGTTCTTCAGACACAGGAACGGGAACCATTTACACATCAGGCGCAGATGGAATCATCTTCTCTGTGTCACTTACATCACATTTGGTAAGACTGGCAGGAATATCCAGCTTGGGCAAATCTGAAAATATCCGGGACAGTAAAATGTTTTGTATTTTCCAGCAGTAACAAACAGTGCAGAAAGAACCTATGATCATGTTTTTGCATGACTAATTTGATTGGAGACCTGTGTTGTATTGTATTGTGAAGTAACATGATTATTGTGTTGTGTGTACATGAATTGCCCGAGTCCATTGTTGCATTCTTTTCACATGTTTGATAACAATTGCCCACACAGTACCCTAACTTTGAAAGCGTGACAGACTTCTACAAGGTCAAGTCCCTCAGAGGAGTGTATTTGGCCAGTCAGATTAGGGAAGGTATGTTGACTTTGAATAAAGAGCCTCTGGTTCTAACAATTCTTTCTGCATTATGGTAAGAACTGCAGCTGTACTTTCTACAACATGGTAAGAACTGCAGCTATGGTAAGAACTGCAAAATGAGACATTGTTGCTCTCTTTCCAGACAAAAGCATCAGGACCATGATAACCTATGACAGGGGAGGGGTGTGGCAGCCTGTTCCCACCCCAGCAGGGATGACGTGTGAGAAGCCCAGTGACCAGGTGAGCATATACACATTACAGACTGATCTTTACATGCCACTATTGCTTTCATCAGATAGGACACAATCTTTCATTGCTGTTAATGGTCCCCTTCCACATTGTTTGAGGACACAGACCTCTAAATCCAGAGAACAGATTAAAAAGAAAAAGAACTAACAGTATACAGATGAGACCACTTTATTTTTGGCAGTATGAGTCATAATTCATCCTATGCTGACTATAATTCAATTGGATATTTCCCCATGATCATATAATACAGTTCCAATACATCCCCAGAAGTCTAAAATCTCTGATTTGTTGTTCTCAGTGTGGGCTGCAGATTCACAATCAGTACAGCAGAGTGAAGGGAATCAACGCTCCCATGGGTCCACTCAGTGAACCTAACGCAGTAGGCCTCATTCTTGTCCATGGTAGGTGATCCTTTCCTGTTCTTGAACTGAACTTGTAAACTACATGACATTGTATGCTAACTGTACTGGGCTAAATTAGTTTATTTTCTGTATTTATATATGAAATGTAACTCATACTCATTCAAAGCAATGAAAATGTGGTCAAGTTTAATTTTTTGTTTTTAAAAAGTCAACATCACACAGTAACAACCATAGCTGCTGCATACACTCTATCATAAGTTTTGCACACCAAAACATATAGGAAGTAAGGAAGTAAGACTGTCAATAAAGTATTATTATTATCAAGAAGTTGCTAACCCACACAAGACAATGTACATCTTAAACATAATCCTGTAAATACTGCACAGTGTTGTCTGCAAGCTTAACAAAACTACCAAAAGAATGTTTGGCAGCAAAGACTTTGGCATTTTGGGCCAGGTCATAGGCCTGTTGGTAACTACCCAGCCTGCAGTGCAGGCAGGTTTTAGCCATCATTAGCCAAAACTTAAATGAATTGCTCGCCATTCCTTCCTTGTCTAGTGAAGCAATTACATTCTTGGCCTTCCTTATGTCATCCAAGAAGATGTCTGAGCTTCCTAACCTGAAGGTGTCTCCTGTTACCATACAGCCAAGGTATAAAAAGGCCAGACTTATTTTGGCAAACTGAGGCACTCGTGACTGTGAGTGGATCATGTGTTTGGGGTGCTCGTTTTCTGTATGCTCAATAGCATGGTGGAAATGTTTCTCTGCCATCTTCATCAACAGTCGTCTGTCATCGTCATCATCTTGACTTGTGGCTATCTCTCTGATGAGCCGGGCATGGTTATGGAGCACCCACCCTGTAACACTGCCAGGTGTCATCCTGTCTAACAAGGGAAGGGTTTCCTTTGCAAAGATAATCCCCACTTCGCACTTCCCTTCTCTCATCTTGGCTAGAGACTTCAGACGGCTCCACCACAGTCTGTGCTCTGTCTCGTGGATTGTCTCGGGGAGGAATGTCGTAACTTCGCGGAGCAGACGGTTGGCCTTCTTGATGTCTCCCTCGTTGATGGCATTGAAGGTTGCAGCATGGCGGAGGGTTACTTGGGAGTCTGGGTCTGTCTTTGTCTTCATGAGCTTCATAACAATGCTGTAGCATTCCAGTATCTTTCCTTCTGTGGACAGTTTTGCCAGGTCATCAATGAGCTTGAAGAATGTTTTGCTGTACCATCTTTGGGGTCTATCGACAGGTTTGGGCACAAGGGGAACAAGTGCCTTGCTCGGAACAAGTGCCGTGCCTTGCCCTTCATGCTCGGAGGTGGGTTTTGTTTCTGTGGAATCATGATCCTCTCTTGGTGCTTGTGTATCCTGAGGATATGTCACCATTGTGATCGTGACTGTACTGCCACTACCAGTACTGACGGTTACGTTCCCGTTGCCATGGACAGCTGTTTGGTTTGTGGTTTCAGCTGGTCCCAATGGAGAAGTCTGTGAACTTCTCTGGAAGCAAAATACAGTAGTAAAAAAGAGATTATTGATTACTAGTCATCCTATGTGGCGGCCATGTACATAAATCACTTGCACAATTTTGGTTCTGTTTGACTGCACACTTTATGTTGTTTTCCTTTTTTGAGCACCAATCACCCCACCGGCCACACTTTGCCGTGCACCTGGGCGTGATGCCCCAAGAGGGCCTTTTCCAGTACAAATACGAATAGGAAAGGAATCCTCTTAATATGCAATTTGCAGTGTTTGGGCAATTCGCAACTTTAGATGTTTTTAATAGTAATATTTTTACCCAAGAGTTGTGTCAATTTTGTTGGTTGACGGATTGGTTTAAAAATTCCATGAATTAACAGAAAAACAGGAGCATGGCTAGAGCCCTGTGTTACCATCATGCCTGTGCACATAGAAGTCTAACTCAGGCTTATGTAAACTTCTCTATATCAATGAAATGGTTCTTGTTTACCTACCTTGCCTGCATTTGGCGATAGAACAAGTATAACCACGGAGATGATGCAAATAATAAACAAGAGCAGAACGTTTCCAAAATCCATAAAGAAGATCCAACCTTCAACCAACATTTTCGAATCGGAAAAGCTGCTGCGTATTTCAGTTCAGGGGCTGGTATGGCTCTGAGTCAGGTGATTCCCCCACCAAACTACCATTAGTATATCAAAACAACCGTCTGAAGGGGGAAAAGTCAGTTGAGGCAATGTTGCACATTATGTTAGGCTTGTAATTTAACAAAGATGAAAAAAGTTTTCACTACTAGTAACTTATTGTAACTTATTGTTACGTATTGTTCCTCATTATAGAGGAAAGCAGAGGGAATTTGTAGTTTTCAGCGCAATACTACTTCACACACAAGAATGGTTTGGCCCAGTGACCGTATGACCTGATGACGGTTGTTTGAGTGTCAATATTGTGGTTTCTCTTCCTCCTGTGTGACGTACATTTTTTTCAAAATGCATAGTATTAACAAGACGTATCAATAATAATATCAAAATGTGTCAGCATAAACAAATTGTGAAATACATGTATGACTTATAAAAGGTAACTTTCCCATGGAATATGTTTGATGTATTGTAGTTATAACGTTATATCCCAATGATAAGATTTCCGTAAAGCAGGTAGATAGATGATAAGAGACTTAAAATGTTTCTAGGTCAGCCGTGTAACAGACCTAACAGATCAGTAACTAGCATAGTTGACTGATGGCTTCAGCAGTTCATCTACTGTTGTGGCAACCACCTGTAACTATGCAACAGAGCCCCCTATTGGCCTGTTGTATTACTGCATTCCTGTGAGTTGCAATTGGAGAAGTTTTTTTCTCATTATGTAATTTGCCAACTCACATGAACTTTCATGCTTAGTCAAATACATTGTAACAGCAAACTCCAAGATAACTGAGTCAATACATGCATCATTTACTCTCATGTTATGAGACTAAGCAGAACCATAAGCAGGACTATATAACACTACTTGTAAATCTACTGTACATCTTAAACATTATACTATTTATAGTCCTGCAGATACTGCACAATACTGTCAGCAAATTTGACAAAACCACCAAAAGAATGTTTGGTAGCAAACACTTTGGCTTCCTGGGCCTGTTCATAGGCCTGTTGGTAACTTCCCAGCCTGTAGTGCAGGCAGGTTTTAGCCACCATGAACTGGAACTGTCCCGAATCACAGACCATTCCGTCCCTGTCGAGTGCATCAATCACATTCTTCGCCCTCTTGATGTCATCCAAAGAAACGTCTGAGGTTCCCAACCTGAAATTGTCTGCTGATTCCTTACAACCAAGGTACAAAAAGGCCAGACCCATTTTGGCGAACCGAGGCACCCGTGACTGCGAGTGGAGCATCTGCTTAGGGTGCTCGTATTCAGTGTGCTCAATAGCGTGTTGGAAATCTTTCTCTGCCATTTTCATGAAAAATTGTCTGTCTTCCCGGTCATCTTGTGTTGCAGCGATCTCGGTCAGGATCAAGGCGTGGTTAATGAGCAGCCATGCCGTTATACAGCTGGGTGCCATCATGTCTAGCAGGGGTAGTGCCTCTTTTGCAAACACAATCCCCGCATCACAGTTCCCCTCTCTCATCTTGGCTAGACACTTAAGATTCCCCCACCAAAGTCTGTGCTCTGTCTCATTCATCGTCTCGGGAAGGATTGCCTGAACTTCATGGAGGAGACGGTTTACCTTCTTGAAGTCTCCTTCGTAAATAGCATTGAGACTTGCGGCGTGTCGGAGGGACACTTGTGAATCCGGGTCGGTCTTTGTCTTCATCAGCTTGGCAATGATGCCGCGGCATTTCAGTATCTTTCCTTCTACAGTTAGCATGGCCAGGTTGTCAATGTACATGTGACAGGTTTTCTCTGTTTTGGTGCTCAGGCTTTTGGGTTTGCTGACAGATTTGGGTAAAACAAGTGCTTTGCAGTGTGTACATGAGTGCTCCTCTCCTGGTACATGTACATGATGAGGACATGTGGTGATGATGACAGTACTACCACTACCAGCATTGACTGTCAGGTTACCATCCCCGTGAACATCTGTAATGTTAATAGTTTCAGCTAGAGACACTCTGTGAAAGATGTCGACTTCACTGGAAGAAAAACAAACACAAGACAGTCTGAATATTTACTTCTAGACCAATAAAATAAAATGTCCATTATAAATATTGTTCTTTGTTTTACCGGTATCCTTCACATAGTTTGACATATTTTGTGTTGATTTACTTCAAATTTGTTTTTTGTGTTGATTTACTTTTTCCCCCTGAGCCATCTAAGAATGTTTCAGCTATCTACATGTATTTGTATGTAGATCTACCAGTCTGTACGTTTTCAAATTGTAATACTATTTAAATAAAAATAACAATCAACAGGTAGTTAATAAATATCATTTTTTCGAAGATTTGTCAGGATGAACAGTCAGTACCATCTTTTGTTGGCAATACTGTCATGTACGCAATGTACTGAAATGATCCAAACTAAACATGCAAAATTTAGTTCAACTCAAGTACATGTATAGCACAGTGTTTACCTTACCTTGTCTGCATTGTACAAATAAATAGCCAGTGACAGGAGCGAGATGAAGCAAGGAGAACCAGTTGAAATAGAACGATGCCAGAGTCCAAAGTACAGATCTGATCTAAACCTCAAGCTATATTTTACTCAGACACTAAGGCACTGACATGTCTAAATTGAGGACCGGAGTCACTGGAATTCCCCAACAAAAGACAAGATGATTCACCTGCTTGGCATGGTCATTAGCATAACAAAAGGAGAGTCCACTGCTGCAGTGTAAAGGGCCAGATAGGCTCCAAGCCATTACGTGCTTTAGTGTGTTGTAGTTTTTTTAAAATGGAGATGACAATGATTTAATTTACCAGGAAACATTGCTGGTTCTCTTAAATTTACTGATATCAAGCATTTTTTTGGACAGAGGGTTTACTTAAGGCCTGGGCACTGAACTAATTTTAGTCTTATGATTACATGTAATTGTCACAGTAAGTGCTAAATGCATATTGAGTACCAATATTAAAAGATCTAAATGTGACCATTTTCACTGTTGTTGTTGTAGGTCATGTGTCTGATGCACTGCAAACAACAAACCCCGATGTTTACATCTCTGATGATGGTGGCTACAACTGGTTTAAGGTATTACTCTCTCATTATATTTCACTTCATACTATAGGTATACAAGTAGGTCTGAGTGAACTTATATGTCTAGTTTATATTGGTATCTTGTACCTTAAATTAAAAACAGAGTGATGTACAGTATATACAGTAAGGTTCATTGTACCAGGAAATTCCCCTAGCTCTGTTTGACAGTGCAGTGAACCACAGCTTAATGTCCTGTGCTGAGGTTCTGAGACCCTTTCCAGTCGCTGTATGTTGGGTGATGAGTGACAATAGCCGGGATTCGAAGTCCCAACCTCTTGGTAAAGAGGCTGGGTTGCTAAAAACTAGACTACGCATGCTACAAAACATTTGTAAATAGTTAAAATTCCTGTCTTGCATGACCTGAGTTTTCATGCAGTCTGCTTGTTTGTGCAGGCCCTGGACGGTCCCCACCACTATGCTATAGGAGACCATGGGGGTTTACTGGTTGCCGTGCCTGCATCTGCTGACCGCTTGGCTAACACCATCAGGTATGCATGTCAGGTGCAATATCTGTTATCTGGAAATACATTCATTAAATGTAACTGCCTTTATCAGGAAATTTTGCCATTTTTAACCCGTGGAATGGTTCTGTTGCAATTATGGTACTACATGTACATGTATATTTGTTCAGCGGGACAGGCTGAATAAAAGTTTTGAACGGAAACTGTGCGGCTCCAGATGTCTTACTGATGAGGGAGGAATCCACTCTACTATATACTGTACAATGTCAAGTACTTACCTGTACAATTGCTATTCAACAGGTACTCGTTTGATGAGGGCCAGTGTTGGAGAGACTACAAGTTTACTGAGGAGGAAATAGTCTTCACTGGGCTGCTGACAGAGCCAGGAGCCAAGACCATGAAAGTTGGGATCTGGGGATTCGGGCGCGAGGACCACAAGTGGAGAGTCACCGTCATTGACTTTGAAAAAGTTGTTACAAGACAGTGTAAGTGTATTTAGACTTGATGTGATGTGTTTTTGTGTGTTGTAGGTACTGATGATGATGTGTGTTTGTGTGTGGTAGGTACTGATGATGATGTGTGTTTGTGTGCTGTAGGTACTGGTGTTGATGTGTGTTTGTGTGTTGTAGGTACAGATGATGATGTGTGCTTGTGTGTTGTAGGTACTGATGATGTGTGTTTGCTGTAAGTACTGATGATGATGATGTGTGTTTGTGTGTTGTAGGTACTGATGATGACTATGACACATGGCAGGCCCATGAGGAGTACCATAAGGAGGGTATAGAGGATGCCTGTCTGCTGGGTGTCAAGGAAACCTACCGTAGGAGGAAGAAAAACACACTGTAGGTTTGGTTTAGATCCAGCATTAAGGAACAACATTTAATGCATACGGTAGTCCTCTTTTGATGGGTCACCATTTCGCATGAGTCAACTTTTCCTTAGTCCATTGAGTGGTTGTTGAAACCAGGTTTGACTGTAATTATGTATATAATTATTGCAAATGGCATTATGTACTGCACATGTACATACTCTGCAATTCTCACTCTAACATAAGGACAAAATCAATGTAAAATGTATCTTTTTGTCTCTGTCCAGGTGTAAGAATGGCTACAGCTATGAGGTTCAGCTGGAAAAACATCACTGTACCTGCATGGAGGCTGACTATGAATGGTATGTGATCATGTTGGCAGTGACAGCAAAGACTTCTTAGTGATTTAACATTTAAAAAAAAAGCTTAAACAGTGTTGTCATCAATACTACAGAACTGGTGTGTCATGCATAAAGGCATTTTACTGGTTATGCAAAACAATGTGTACTTACCAGCTACAGTAGATAACATTATAATTTGTGTTTCTGACTGTTTGTAGTGAATATGGCTTCCATCGGGACAGTGAGAACAGGTGTACTGTAGACAAGGACTACATCAGCAAATTTCCGGAGGTCTGTGAAAACGGAGAATTACAGGAGATCAAGAGTAATGGGTAAGTAGGGCTAAGTATGATCCTTTTATCTGTCTGTCAATCTTCCCCACATCTACTTGCTGCTGGCCTACTTTGTCCGGACAAACATGACCCCATCTAAGTGGTGAGCAGATACATGTATTGATGTGTGTAAAGGGCTTGGGTGTAGAAATCGTAGTCAGAAGTTGTAGTTTTTTTTTCAAATGTGCAGTTTTAAGAAATCAGAATTGTATTTCAGGTATCGCCTAATTCCTGGTGATGAGTGTGTTGGTGGAAAAGCTCCCGAGACTTCCCTGGTAGACCTGAAAGAACGCTGTAATAAACAGGAGCAGTTTCAGGAGGGATACGGACTGGCCAACTTTAATGCATATTTCAACAAAGAGGTACAGTTGTACTTTTTGGTAATACTTCTTGTAGTTAAAATCAAACAAGTTGAATGCATACTCTAAACTAAAAGGACTAAGAGCTTGAAAGGTCATATGTGTTGACCCTGTGTGACACTATTGTATGCTTTCTTCTAGGGAGCTGGAGGTAAAGTAGTGGCTGGCCTGACTGTCACTGTCATTCTTGTTGCTCTCCTCATCATCTTTGTGTATTATGGCAAGAGATGGTGGCATCGTAGACAGAAGTAAGTATACTAAATAAACAGATTCTGAAGTTTGTTCTATTTATCGATTACATGTATGTGCTGTATATAACCTTAAACCTTCAGACCTTAGATCAGACAAATCTAACATAGTTTAGTCTGTGACTATGTCTGACACAGTCATTGTTACAGTGACTAACACTGTGTCTGTGACTGTACTGTATGTGACTGTGACAGTACTGTATGTGACAGTGGCTGTACTGTATGTGCCTGTGACAGTACTGTATGTGTCTGTGACTGTGACTGTAATGTGACTGTGGCTGGACTGTATGTGACTATAAGCGCCTGACACTGTGATTGTGTCTGGCACTGTGAATATGACTGTACTGTATGTGACTGTACTGTATGTGACTGTGACTAACACTGAGACTGACACTGTTACTCCTGTCCCCCCAGCCGGGAGGTGTACCGGTACTCGGAGCTGAACCAGACTGATGACGTTACCCTGGAGGAGGACCACTCCAGCAAAACTTGGGTCTACCATGATGACTCTGATGTGGTAAGACATCAGCCCTCCTCACTTCTAATGACACATTCACATGTCTTCTTCCTTTCTTCTTTCTGTTGAGGAAGCCGCCTTCAGCAGTTTGAAGATTCTGCTTCCTATGGTGGTGGGTGCATGCCGAGGAGGTCAGGTTTCACAGCTTGCCCCTAAACTCCTCCAGAGAGGAGGAGAGGGCAATGTCTGCGTCCAGAGTGTTCCAGTCAGGAATTGTCCGCGGGACAATGTACATGTGTACAGACAAGATTGAGATTACCTATTATAAACTGACAGTGGTGCTGCACTGATCTGTCAAACACAGTCTGTTTTTTAAGGTGGCAGATACTATACATGTAACCCAGTGGATAAATGCTAATGGAAGTTACTACCCAGGTGGAAGTTATACATGGTTGCTTGACATGTGATGCTTATAATGTGTTGTTCCTTGCAGGACTTGTTGCCATGAGGCTGACTGAGTGAACTACAGGCTGGCTGTCCAAGAAAACTACAAGCAAGGCCAGGAGAAAGTCCTACACGTGTGTTACATAGGATGGCTGTGCAGATTAGACAGTAAAAACACTAAAGGAGAGGCACAGTAGTGTGTTACGGATTCTTCCCAGTTCTTTAGAAGTAGAAAACTTGACTATCCTGAGCAAATTGAATAATAGCAAGTCTAAAGAGTTCTTTCTGCCCCTCTCCCATTTGATATTTTGAGTGTTCCTGATCCTTTTATGAGAACAAGTCTGTGGTTCACTCTCCTTGGATTTAGAATGTTTCTGAACAAAGTCATTGACTTGCCTTTTGTTAAGTAACCTTACAAAATCTGCATGGCCACTAGAGAAAATGAGAATTTAGATTTGACTGGCTGGATCCCAAGCCAGGTAAAAACAAGAAAATTAAGGCGACTATAAATTCATCTACTTTTGCGGTGGTTGTATTTTGCAGTAGGAAGGAAAGGCAGGTTTTTGTGGTGATTTAAGTCTGTGATGGGAACAATAATATTCTGTGGTGCAGTAGTATGAGGGAGACATATATCTGTAGTGTCATGCGTTTACGGTGGAGAGGGCACTGCAAAAACTTTGAAAGTAAAGCTGCTGTGAATGCTACATGTATTTCCTGCATTTTGAGGGGCATAGTTTGCTGGTAGGTGAAGCTGAGTTTAATGATATTGCTGCATTCACTTCATTCTGTTAAATACTAGTAGAATATGGAATATTGTCTTGTTTTAACTGTTGAGGAGGATATATATATATTTTCAGTCTTTCAAGTTCCAAACAAGCAGTTATTTGTCAGGTGGTTGTTACCTATGCAATTGTCTCTCAATACTGAGGAGCTGCTATTCTATATTGTATTTCATATCTTAATATATTTAGAGATTTAAAGAGAGACTCTCCTGTTCCTGTTTGTACATTTTGGTTATGCTGCCAGGGCCTTGTCAATATGAACCTGTGCAATTACTAGTATTATTTCATATACAGAGTTTGTGTGTTTTCTGGTTTTACAACTTTTTTCCAACCTGTAAGTAGACCATATCTTTCAATATCAGACAGGAAGAAATGTTCAACTGGATTTTTACATTCAAGTGATTTAAGGGCTAATCCAGTGGGACATTCGTTACAAGTTTTCCTTTTCGTACTTGCTTTAAAAGCTCTGATATATCAGTTCTATTACCTGCTTGTTAAGAAAGAGACCAGCAAGGGTACCCTACCACTTGGCACTGTTGATAGTGAAATTAGAATTTCTTTATCTAGCAACGGCTGGTTTTCTTAGAGTGGTTCATCTGTATTATTCATGTTTATGCATTACCATCATTCAGCTGTACCATAATATGATAGGTATTACCAGCAGGTATTCCTTGCCTGCTTTAGACATGATTTTTGGTGGAATATTTCAAACTGTCTCTTTATAGAATCCACTCATAGCATTCAATGTTTCCACCTTTAGAAACAAGAAGAAAATTACTCTTAAAATCTTTTCTTTTTGGTCTTCCACATCTCCACTTTGCTGTAAATAAGATGAGTCTGTTTTATATAAATATTAAGGAAAGACTAAGTACACAATTTCATCAACAGAACGGACAAGGGTAAAATTAAAGGAAGCTCATATCTAGCTGTATACATGATAGGAAAGTGAGCTAAAACAATTTTCTTGAGGTGTCTCATTGGTGATGCAATTCTCATCTTTAAGGAATTTCTTGATGAAAAGAGGTGTGTCAAATATAGAATTCTTCACAAAATGTGTGTTCATTGTCTTTTTTTGCCATCCATCTGGCAATATGAAAGGCTTAGCATACTTTTGGGCCCACCTGTGTGTGAAATAGACCTGTACATCTATGTTCTGCTAGCCACACACACTTGCCACTCTCTAAAATGAGCAGCATACCTTAATAAGTTCTGCAGCTAAAGTGCAGACACTCCTACAAACATTACCAAAAACATAACCTTGATGACAGTTAACCCAGCATATTCTTACAATGCAGAGAAACGTCCCACTATTTGTTAATGACAGGCTTTATTGCAGTCATCGTTACTGAAATGATAACATGATCTGTAACTATACCAGTTCCCAGTAGCTGCCCTGCCATATGCATGGACTTGAGTCTATTGCCTGGTGCTTTTTAGGGGGTCTCTGACTATACAAGTCTTCATCATTGTCTATAACATAGAATTTTACAGGCATGTTATGTATCAAACCTTCTTACATTTTATAAGAAATTAAAAACAAACATAAGGTTGAAAGTCAAACCATCCAATATTTAGTCAAAATCATCTTTTTTAAACAAGTCCTTTGGACTATGCCATTCAGACATGGCTAAATACATGTATGAACCCAAACACATAGTAGTCACTTCATATTGACTGTTTTTTTTATCATGACTATTCTGACATGAGTCATCTCACATGACTTTATCAAGCGTTATACGACCACAAAAGTTTCTTCTCAACAAAGAAAGAAATGAACAGAATATTGGAGATGAAAAAAATACTAGTCTCCAATAGCATACACATGTTTGTGTAATACCCTTCTGGCATCTTCAACAGAATATTCTTCATAACACGACAGCTAGTATCTAATGTCTTCCCAGGTACAAGTTGCCATACAAAAAGTAGATGTTCTTTGGACTAGAAAGCTCCAGATCTGAGCGGTGGTGCTACAAGGATCACCCCGTCTCCTCGAACAAACAGCATGGGAATGTTCCGCTTGGTGGTCTGGAAAAAAACATGGAGGGAACGTCAACATTTCATGAACGGCCTTTATCAGGGTTACTTAAACACTACCACAGTCAGCATCCTTGTCCCAAGTGTAGGAGTGATGATGACCTTCACTAAAGATGATATAAAACCTATAACATTGAAATACAACTGGCAACAAACAAAACAAAACAAAACAAAACAAAAATGCTTCTGCTACTGAGTCCCAGTTTAACATTTGGGTGCAGGTATAGACATCAGAATTACCTGCACAGCTCTAATTTTACCTGCACTAACCTGCATACACAGGTGGTACAGTATTTCTTATGAATTTCTTACTTTGTATATTTCCTCATATGTTTCCTCGTCTATCTCCACTGTTGTGACTGTCTCCTCCACATCCCCAAGGATCATGTTCAGATGTTGATCATACGCCTAGAGAAAAGAAGAGAACATTTTTATATTTATCAATTACTAAGGATAATCAAAGTAAAGAAGTACAGTACCACCATGGTCTAGCAGTGGATAACAGTTTGGCTTGATCAGGTTCAAGTCCAGGCCTTCTTTACATCTGACAGAGGATAAAAGTCAATCCCTGAGAATTGTATGTGGCTACAAAATAGTAATATAATACAAGGCTACTGATCAAGCTTACATGAAGCCTCCCTCTCAGCTCTCTGTCATTTCGCATCTTCACGTAGATTCTTTCATCCAAGCTGAGGCGAATCAGGTCTAGTGGCTCTTCTACCACTGCTGTCTGCGGTTGCTGTCGGAACACAAGTCATAATCATCAGACATGCACAAACTCAGTTGACAGTTGTGAAAGACCTCATTGTATGGGGGAAAGAACAAAAAAGTTTTCACCTTACGGGATTTCTATAACCAAGACTCAGTTTAATGCGGTAAAAATTGTAGTAGGATGCACTGGAGATAACGTCATATCAAAAACGAATACGTTTAAGTTTAGGGTATAATCCATAATATTAGTGAAAATTGTGTGGTTTCATTCACTTTTGAATTTTGAGGTCTAAGTTGAACTGCAACTGACTCATCCTGGAATGCAGTTGCGTAATGAGGTGAATTTATACACAAACAGGAAAAACTTCAAAATCCAAATCATACTATAGTCTGATTCTCTGAAAGCCTATTAATATACCACAAAGAACAGTTGACACTGGCTACCTCAAACATAAGACTTTCTAGCCTGGCTTAACGAAGTTGTCCACACTACTTTGTATAACACGTCAGGGGACCCGTTAATTAAGAATTAAAATTATGTGTATATGGTGTCATAAGGCCTGGTCATTTCCTACAACCATCGAATAAAATTATGTGAGCGCAAAACCAGACAGGTAGTAACATGTGGTATACAACATGTGGTGTTTTCAAACTGGGGGAGTTGGATCCGCATAGTGCAAAAAGGGCCTTCATGCGAGGACAATGCACCAGTAAACACAATGTCAACGTCAAAGGATACAACTTACACCAGTATCTACAAAGTTAGCGTGTGCAAAGGGCTGTAAATAACACTTGGCGTGTGGAAAATAAAATACAAACCTCTTCGTCCGCCATTTTCAAAAGACGAGACCCTGGGTGATTCTACTTTGTTCAATGGGGATGTGAAGTTCGCGGTGTATGAACTGACATTTGACACATATCTTGGCATGAATATATTTGACCCTAAATAAATATTGTATGATATATTCAATATCTTGTATTTTCGAATATTTAACTTTCTAGAAAATGTTTGGAGAAATCCCCTTATCCAAAATGGTTTGAACCTCGCAGATTCTATTTTGTTTAGATGGGTAGATACCTCATAACTCATCATAATAGACAACTAATGAACTCATTAAAACTACTACCCAATTATATAATTGAAATATGTGTGGCTAGTGTTATTATTATTTCTGTCAATGTCTATATTATAACCTTTATTTGGGTGATATTTTGAAAAATGTTTGATGAAGTAAGGCTTCTTCCCCTGTTTAAAGTGGTTTGGGCCACTGAGGTCCAGGTTACAAAACAGCCACATGTGTAACATATCTAGAGTAGATCGATTGTGAGAATTATCCTATATCTATCTCTTTGAGATAATGGGGAGGCAAAGGAGATCAATAAGGGGAACAGCTGCGAATGGAGGCGGGAAGTCTGCTGGCCAGCCGAACAGTGGCCCCGCCGGTGAGCTAAAAAATTATCCTCATGATCTGATCTGTCAGTCCAGTGGGAGTTGCCTGTCACTGATTTGTGTGTGTGTGCGCGCGCGCGCGTGTGTGTGTGTGTTTGTTTGTATGTATGTATGTGTGCATGCATGTATAAATCTGTGCTTGTTTGTGTGTGTTGTTTGTGTGTGTAAATTGTAAAATTACTTTTGTGCATATTTTGTGTGCATGTTGTTTTTGTGTGTGCGCTCATGCGTGCACAGTTTACTCTCCAAGCAGAGGTTTGGGTTTATTTTTGGCATGTTTTTAGGCTTTTTTATCATTTTTTTTTCGCACTAAAATTTTTAACGCTAGATTTCAGTGCAAAAAAGTAACCCCAATAAAAAAAAGGTTGACTTGTAATATAAGTTGTATGTCTAGTATTGTTACCTTCAGACCTCGACATGCCATTGCATCCAACAAAATTGAGATGATGTAAAAAAAAAAAGTCAGGCTGCACTGCCTTCTGAACTGATTGTAAACCTTGCTGTTTGTTGCCCGTCTACAGAGTCAGAACCAAAGTCACCATCAGCTGATCACAAGTTGGGGGTGAAGAGAGCGTCAGCTGAAGCCGGGCCAACAAACAAGAGAAACAGATCTAGAAGGGTTCCAGTTGTTGTATTGGAAAACTTGCAAGAATCTGAATTAGGACATCTTGGCAGCAAGAAATCCAACAAGAGCAAGAAACAAGCTGAAGCTAATGATGACAAACCTAGAAATGGAAGATCAGTGAAGACTTTGACGAACAGTTCAGAGGTTGAAAAATGTGTGTCAGGAAAAGGCCAGGGAAGAAAGAGACCCCCAGCAAAGTCTTCCAGTGGGGCATCTACACAGGTAGACAACGGGGACAGACAGGGAAAAGAAGAATCAATCAGTATGAGGAAAGGACCAAGAAGGAAGAGGACACATGTAGGTGGTCATGAAAAGGACTGGTTCGGAGAAGAGGACAGTGACTTTGATGATGGTGGACGTACAAATTTAATGGTCAAAAAGATGAAAACAAAAGAAGAACCAGTTGAAGTTAGTACTAGTATACATGATAAAGAAGAAGTGGAAGACAAGGCCAGTAGTAGTGAGGCAGAGTTGCCTGATGCACCCAAGAAGCCATCGAGACTTACTGAGCCTCAAGACTCCTCAGACAGCGAGTTGGAATGGGAGGATGTAGAGGAGATCCACACAGCCAAGAGTCCAGAGAAGAAACTCCAGGACATCAGCATCGAGCTACCCCAGGATGCCATCCCTGGGCTGTCCAGGAACAAGAAGAGAAAGCAGTTTGATTGGAACGGCTACATCAAACGAGAAATCCGAAGGATAACCAAGGAGCAGAGAGAGAGCCTCCACAAGGCACATCTGTTATCACTGCTGGCCTGTGTGCTGTACAGGAGTAGGGTCTGTAACGACACAGACTTGGCAGGTATGGCTTTGTCCTTGACACCCCCAGAAATTCTGCGCCAAAGAAGGTGGGATTTGGCCTTCTTGAGCAAAGTGGTCAGGTGGTTCCAGTCCAAATTCCCCTTGATTGTAGATGAGGAGGAATCAGAAGACGACAGTAGCTGTACGTCAGTAACACTTGGCAGGAGACTAGAGGAAGGGAAGGTGAGGTCAGCAGGTGAGCTGGTCTGGCTGTTTGTGGTGCTGCTGAGGATGTTACAGGTGGACACCAGACTGGTCAGCTCCTTACAGGTAAGGGTTACATTCAATATCACAAGATATTTATTCTGTACAGTCTATTCTGTATTACCTGACTGTGTGTAAGGTACCAGCCTATCGTGCAGGAGGCCTGGGACTGAGGGTGATGCAGAATACACTGTGTTCTATTTTATTTATGTCATACCCTCCTGAGAAAACACACATTTCAATGTGAACTGTGCCAAACTTAAAATTTCTGCGAACTTGGAATACAAAAAAAAGTCCTCTCCAATCCTGTTAACTCCTGGCAAGAATGAATTTACACTAACACTAGTAACAAAATTTAGATTCCAGTTATTGCAATTGATTAATCTCTTACAACATTCTTATATTTTTTTTTATTGTTGGATCATTACAGCCCATCCCTCTGAAGGAGCCATCCCCATCAAAGTCTAAACAGAAGATGTCACCAGGACAAAAGAAGCCACAAAAGTCTGCAACAACAAAGTCTAGAGCAGCCACTTCAAAAACTCAAGCTTCGAAGTCAGCTAAGAAGACTCGGACTGTAAAACAGGCCAAGCCAGGTAAAAGAGGAAAGACGGCAAAACTTTCAGATGAGTCCAGCACAGAAAGTTCATCCGTTAAAATGTCTGATCAATCTTCAAGTAGACATCAGAAAACAAAGAATTCAAGGCCGAGGAGACATGCATCCAAGACAAAGCCTATTGTAGAAGCCTCAGAATCTGACGAGGAAGAGAGCTGTCACTCTGACTATGTGCCTGAATTCAGTACAGACATGAATTACTCCTCATCGAGGGAGTCAGAAAGGGAAGTTGAAGAGATAAACATTTCAGACGACAGTGATTTAGAAATTGTTGACGTATCAAAACTCAGGATTAAACAGAAATCAGGCAAACAGAATCTGCCGCCCAGCAGGAAGATTATCTCTGATGATGACTCGGATGAAAGTGTAGTAGAAGTGGGGAGTAAAAATGCAGTGGCTATGAGTGGTGAGTGGGTGGAAGTCTACCTTGTAGAAGAGGAAAGATGGGTGACGGTGGATGTGGTCAGCGGACTGGTGGACCGGCCAGAGCTGCTGGAACAGCAGCAGAACCAACCAATGGTGTACGTCGTTGGGGTTGACACGGAAGGCAGCGTAAAGGACGTTACCAAACGATATGCAGCGGGATGGATGACGTCAACGCGACTGCTGAGGGAGGATCGGCACGGTACATGGTGGACCGACACACTCCGACTATACTCATCATCTGACAAGGACAGGTACGTCGGGGCTCAGTAGCACATGAGCAGAACGTGTGCCTTGGTAAAATAATAAATGTATAGTGTATAGCAATTGGCCATAATGTATCCTTTAAAAGTTGATACTAAATGTGCTTTTCTGTACCTGACGATGAGTTTGACAGTACTGGTAATATTGTTCTTCTTCAGGAGCAAGAAGGAAGACATTGAGCTGCACAGCAAACTTCTGCAGAAGCCTCTTCCTACCACCATCAGAGACTTTAAGGACCATCCTTTATACATGCTCCGACGGCACCTGCTGAAGTATGAAGCCATCTACCCAGAGACTGCAGCTGTGTTGGGCTATTGCAAGGGGGAGCCTGTCTACGCAAGGTACATGTATTGTGAAATCAACGTGTATAGGGTGTCTCAGAAGAAAGGAAAACCCAGAAGGTTCTTTCCTAGCTCAAATTTTAACACTGTCCAAATACTAGTACTCATGCAGCAACTTCTTTCCATGGACTGCAAAATTATGGAAATATAAAAAAAGTGTTTCCAAATAAGACACAAAGCCTTCAAAACCTTCACTGCCATCTCCTATACCTCCCCTCAACTCTGATTTATAGTGCCCAGAAGTGAACTTTTGGCCTGGCCTTTGAACATTACTGTCAATTGTGATACGAAACAAACGAGTTCCTGTGACATCACATTTTTGCCTCGCAGGTAATATCAATATACTATGGGATAGGGTGGTTTCCTGGAAATTGACTTTGAAAGTCCATTTTTCCTACCCTCAGCCCCAGAAATTGCTTTGTATGCCTTTAGAATAAGATGAATGCAGACAGACTGACAAGTATTTTACTGTTCTGTACAGGGAGTGTGTTCACCAGCTGCACACCAGGGACAAGTGGCTCCAGGAGGCCCGCGTGGTCCGACCTGGGGAGGTACCGTACAAGATGGTCAAACACAACAGGCCAGACATGGTCAAGAAGAAGATGGAACGCAAAGGAATTTTTACAACTGGACACGAGGAGGAACCAACTGTAGCTCTGTTTGGAAGGTACTACAAGTGTACTTTCTTATGTACATTTCTCACTCCCACAAATTTTACCTGTAGGCAGGTTTGTAGAGAACTGAAAGAATTTTACATTGATAACTTTTCTATTGATTTGTTTCAATGACATGAATATTATTAGCTCATTTTTCTGTTCATTGTTTTATTCAGGCCTTGATGTAAGGATTGTTTTTAATGACTTAAGGAGTATTGAAACTTCTTACACTTTTTAGCCATGTCAGTACTTAATTATGATAAATGTGAACTCTCAACTACTCAACTCTCACACACTACCAAGGACCCCAGTCACAGAAGGATTGGTGTATGCACCATTCAGAACAGCCTGTTGAATTTTCCCTGTTTACTTTGGTACAGATGGCAAACTGAGGACTACATGCCCCCTCTGGCTGTGGACGGTAAGGTTCCCAGGAATGACTATGGCAACGTGGACCTGTACCTTCCCAGCATGCTTCCTCAGGGCACTGTGCACCTTCAGATCCCAGGTAAGACTAAGCCAGTTCTGACAAGTCAGGATTCAAACCCAGGAAAGGTACTTTACCTGACTTTCCTCACTTCTCTCAGGTAAAAATGTCCTCTGTGTTGGTGGCAGCATAAAAATAAGTTGAGGGTCACCATGTCTTGTCATTAAATGTTGCAATAAAAAAAAACTTTTAAGACAAGATTAAAAATGACAATTGTCCTGGTAGGTCTGGAGCGTGTTGCGAGGAAGCTGGACATTGACTGTGCCCCAGCTGTGGTTGGGTTTGACTTCCACAGTGGCTGGTCACATCCTGTGAAAGATGGCTTCATCGTCTGTGAGGAGCACAAGGTATGTACTGTCCATAGGATAGGTTATAAAACTGTAAGATTTTTTTATGTAGCATCCAATGCTTTGTGTCATTGACTAACAGAATCTGTAATTGAACATCTTGACATAAATGCACATTTGGTCTCCAGGAGGTATTGTTAGCAGCATGGGAAGAAGACAGACAGAACAGAGAGCAGAAAGTGAAGGACAAACGAGAAAAGAGGGCTCTGGACAACTGGAGAAAGTTAACAAAGGCCCTGCTGATCAGTCAGCGTTTAAAGAGAAGATACCAGGTATGTAGATGGTTTGTTTTTTCTATAACCGATAAACTGCGTTAAAGTATAACATGTAACGTTACACACCAGTTTTATATAGTTGGTAAAAACTGGATGTAAGACCCAGCTCTTTTTTATAAGTGTGGTGGGACTGTCCTTAAACACTGGCTTAGGTGAAGTTGGGTGCATTTTCACAAAATAAGTGTAGTTGAGATAATCATTGTTGTTACAGATCCAGAATGAGTCCAAAGACAAATCATCCCTGGAAGGGGAGGATATAGATGACGAGGACAACTTTGATGAGACTTCAGACCGGGCTGTAGATGTAGAGCAGTCCTGGCCAAGGAAAGACTTTAGTCAGGAGGCTTCCAGTTCTAAAACCAGTCAGGCCAGAGCAAAGAAGAAACAGAAGGAAGATGCTCATTTATTCCCATTTGAGAAGATATAAGTTGGCTCAAGGCTGTTCAATATCAATATCAATTCCAGGCTTGATAGGAAATTTCAACCATATGAAAATAATACAGTTTTTCATTTACCAAGATGATGATGATGATAACTATAGAGATGCACAATGTACATTGTTTTAAGTCTACTACAGACAAGATGAAATCATACTTTGATTCCATCTCACCCATATGTACAGCCTCTGAACATCACACGCAAAATCATGATAGTCAGTGTAACATGTTACTGGAATATATACGTTTTCTAAAGCTCTTCATTGTCATTTTAAACCTTATTTTACAGTAAACTGTTGAAGATAAGAATGCAAGATTTGATGTCAGAACCCGTACATTAAAATTGGAAAGCTTGTGTATTGCAGAGGTACTGTATTGTGTGTTTGTCATGTGCGTCAGTCACTCAGTGTGTTGTGTGTGTGTGTGAGACCGATCCTGACCGTCCGGCATAATTATCAGTTCAAACATTTCTACCTCCATGGTTCAACCATTCTGATGTAATGACAGAAAGAGCATTAAACTTTACATACATGATATTGAGATAGAAGGTTGTATTTGTAACATTGGTACATCTGTTTGAAATCCAGTAAGTGAAATTCAAACTCAAAGGAAACAGAAGCTAACCTCAGAGATTGGTAACTGAAATACATGTAACATGCATGTAATGAATAAAACAAGAAATTAACAACTACTAGAAATCAATCATTCATGCTTCCTGGTTTTCTTGTCAACCCAATGACTATGTCCTTGGTCAACCGAATAAAGATAGGCAGCTGCATATACAAGTAACCCTATAAAGTTTACAGCCGGTGACCCTCATGACCTGGTTGGGATTACGCAACTCTGACAGACACCGAAGTCACGTTCTGCACGCGTGCACCGGCGAGTTTGATTGACAGTTGTGGGCGTGGCTTGGACAAGAAGGGGGAGTCCATTTGAAGTAAAAAGCGCCAGCCCGTCATCACCGTCCGTCACCGTCACCCATTGGTTGAATGGCGATCGCTGCCGTGACGTTTGCGGGTGTTTCTTTCTTTGTGAGCGCAGCCCGGGTCTTGGTGGCCTGCTCTGGTACCGGCGGGTACCGGTGGTGTCCTGATGACTGTGACCGGACGGTGTACACTCATACCGCCCTGCCCGACCTCCAGTTTGTCCCCGTCACTTCCGCCGCACACCTCGGAGAGACCTGACAGCGTAACAATGTTGAGATCGTCTGGTGGTGGATTTTAAGGTAGGCTTCAGTTAATATTGTAAAGGTTTGATGGAATTATTATAAACGTACGTTACGTAACAGTTATACCGCCAGGAATATATAATTTTAGCTACCACTTGGCCGCGAACTATCCCAGCCATATTTCCACCATGGTGCCGGCGCGATGACGCAGTTGAATGGAAGCACGATGGAAATTTCCGGTGGTGCTGTAGCCTGATCATTCTCTACGGACCGGCTTATAATTTAGGAACGATTATATACTGGCCCCAGTCTCCGAACATAGGCCGTTTTGTAAACAGCATATAATTTTAGGCAGCCTTTCTGAGGTGCCCGCCTGGCGCCTCGTAAGGAAATGTTGTGGAGACAAGTACACTTGGCTACGGTCACAAAATTTTTGGATGCCCCCCTCCCCACCCTCCCCATTTACCAGCAGGGGAAAGGTGAAGGCTGGAGCTAGTGAATGCCATGGACCCCCTCATGGCTTTATGGCTTTATAAAGGGCTTTATAAAGGGCAGCTTTCAGACTAGTATAAATCATGGCGTCAGTTCAGCTGGTACTTCACCTAGATAAACTGCCCAGTGTTAAAATGTTACTAGTATCATGATTTGTGTGTGTGTGAATGTTTATACATGTGTGTGTCTGTACATTTGTGTGCGCGCGTGTGTGTGTACAAGCATATGTGTGTGCATTGAGATGTAGTTTGTGTGTATGTGTATATGTGTATACAGCATGTGCTGTGCATGTGTAGTATGTGTGTGTGTGTGTGTGTGAATGAATGAATGAATGAATGATTGAATGGATTATGAATGAATGAAAATTTATTATTGTGTCTTGCCACTACATGCCACCCAGCCCAAATGTATTTGTATGTACATGTAACGTTATGTGTGCTTGTGTATACATGTCATGTGTGTATGTATGTTTGTGTGTGTGTACATGCGTTGTGTGTGTGTTTAATGTTACATGTTTGTGTATGTGTTACATGTTTCTGTGTTACTGTAGGAGCAATCTGACCAGAACAGGGTTAGCTTGGGACTTGGGTGCCATCCTCCATGTTACTGCTATAAGCATGATTTCATACTAGTAATTTCTTGAGCAGCTTCTTTCATGTGCAAATTTCAAACATTTTTGTTCATGAAAACTTAATTTTTAAATGTCACTGAAAAATTGAGAAAACCAGGCTACCATAGTCTAAAATGCAGCATTGATAATCGTGCAACTTTTTAACATGCACAAAACTTCAACCCTTGAACATAGCCTTTTTCATGAAGCAACTAATACACATTTTACATGCAAGTGGGCTTTATAAAGCTTTTGTCTGTACATAATATATGACCCTGCTGACAGTCCCCGCACACCTTCACAACCTAGTGTGAAATGTGGCTACTTTGTTGTCAGATTTACAACCTTTTGCTTGAACCATAATTCTTTTGCTTTGGTGATGCAATTCTACTCGAGGTTACACTTGAACCCTGTTTTGTCAACACGTCAGGTAGTTTGTCACCTGTCCTCCATGAAACAATGGAGAGTTTGGAGACACTATATTTCGGTCTGGATGATATGTGGGGTACATCTCAAGATCTTCCAGGTGGACTGCGATGGTATTTAGCAGGTGGATAGGTGGGGTGAACCAGATGGTGAAGGTAGATTTTTCGCACCTGATGATTTACCATGGTATATTTTTATAACCTTTGGTGCTGGATGGTCTGTGGTCGTGATATAGTTGTTGACATAAAGGTTTAGTGGTATAAATTTGGGCCCCCAGGCAGTTTGCTGTGACCCTGCATGTGTATTGGTGGAATTCAGGTCCTTTTCAGATGCTGCACAGGAACTGACTACAGGGTTAGGAAGAACACACGCAGGACACAGGCATACCAGTGCACACATGAACGGGAGTCATGGGGCTGGGACAGTCTCTTTCTATGTAATCTTCTGTCAAACTTGCTATCTCTGACCACCTCTATACTCTGACTCATTCCCAATTCCATTGAATACCCAGCTTTTATTATAAAACCACAGACTGGACAACAGACAGTCGTCTGGCATGGGGAACAATACAACACTTAACACCTACATGGCATCCTACTGATGTAGAAACTGATGAAAGTGATGGGGATCCTGGTAACATTTGTATAATGTCCTTGCGTCTAGGAACTGAAAAGTCCAATAAAGTCGGCCTCTTGCATAACATATAAAAGTGGCATTTTTTTACACCTTTATAATAATTACACATGGTTGTTTAGTTTCATTATTTTCGAATTTGTTTCCTGACAGAAATTACTTTCGGTACTTGGGTAGTCTTGTGAGCCTTTGCATTTATACCCCCCGTTTCATAATGTATCATGGAGGTAGAAAGTCTTTGACATTTTGGATACACAAATGGGTAAAATACTTGACCTTGCAAGGAAGAAGAAGGTAATCACAAAATATTTTATGGAGTTATGACATCTCCAAGTTCTTGTTTAAATACTGGCAACGTTAGTTTGCAAAAACTTTTAGAAAACTTTTTTTCTACATGTGTGTAGTTTGTACCTTGTTCCAAGAAATTCTTTTGGACATTCTGAGTGGTAACATATCTACGAGTACTCTCCAGACTCCAATGGGTAGCTGGAAAATTACCCCTGTAGTAAAAATTGAGTTCTCTGACCATAAAATTAATTTTGCTATGAGTTTGAGTTCTTCTATCATGTTTGTTAATATATGTATCAGCTCAAGACGAAGTACATACATAGCAGCACTATTTCCTTGGTACAGCTGGGTAAACGTCCTGTAGGTCATATATATAGCTAGAGTGCAGCATAATTGGCTGTCCTTTCCCACCATCTGGGGACCATATGGGCTTCCCAATGGGGTGGAGCATGCTGATATTCCATATACAACCTGTTATGTACATAACTGTGCGTCCAATGGGGTATTGAAAACTGCAACTTACATGTAGCCATTCAAATTTAGGCTCAAAATGTGACCTTTGACAGGAACAAATGCATGCATCACAAAGATAGAGACAATTTACTACCATACTTTATCTCGGAACTTGAATTTGGGCCTTAATTTGAGAGCCTGAATTTGACTTTTTGTTGACATCTGTAATGATATCCACTGAGCAGAAATCGTGTTGTTTTCATGTAATTGTATTCATTGGTGCTACTTCTTTGACAACTATTATAAATCATCATAGCATAAATATATTTCCACATTTTTGTTACTGCAGGTGCAGAGAATGGCAGAGACACAGAGACTGAAATCCCACTTCCAATATAACAATGAGAAGGCAGTTGCCTATAGGAATAGGACAATCACGAGAGACTTTACAGAAGAGGAGGAAAAGCCTAGATAGCAGGACCTGTCCTGTAGAGCCCAGTGGGCAGAGTAGAACTGTCATCATGGAGGAGTCCCCGTGCCTACAACAGACTAGTGACAAATGTCACCCAGTGCTGCTCTCCCCAAGTCTGAAAATAGAGGCTGAGGTGTCTTCAGATAGTGGAGCTGAAGTACATTCTGATGAACAGGAGGAAGGAGGCCAGTGTCTCAGTCCCAAGTCACTTGCATCACATTCAAGTTACGCTAGCCTCGCAAGTATAAGTCCAATGCCAAGTGGAGTTGATCTTAAAAGTCTACTGGATGATTCATTTCCCCATTCCCCTAATGCAAGTCTTGGCCAGGAATTCATTGAGCACACAGACAGTAGTTCAAAGCCTCCTAGGAGGGCAATAGACATTCTGATTGGAGGGGAACGATTTGTCTTGGGGCAGAGTAGTGCCGACACAAGTCCCCACAGTCCCTTCAGAACCTATGCAGATAAAGGGGACGTGCCCTCTGCAACCTTAGACACTTCCATCCATGACTTGAGGGATGAGCTAGCCAAACTTTACATTAAGAACATGCAGCAAATAACACCTTTGCCATGGAATAACAAGTTTTTGGTCGATGTGCGTGACGTCAGTCTGCATTATGAAGTCCTGCAGGAAGGAAAAAGGCCAGGAGACATGCACAGAGTTCGCCTCAAGAGATTTGAAGACGTGTTTGAGTCTAAGGGACTGCCGGGACCAAGACGGATTTTCTTCCAGTGCATCCCGGGGGTCAGAAAGGCCACTCTGCTCAACAAGGTCCCCGTAGAGTGGAGCCGAGGCAGATGGATGTTTCTAGTAGAGCGTTTTCAGTTGCTCTTCAGCATAAATCTACTAGATGTGTCTGCTGAAGATACCCTGTGGGATACCCTGAGAAGCCAGTTCCCACAGCCGCTGGCTTCTGCTTCTATTGACAGTGTGAAGGCCTTCCTGCTGGACGAGGAAACACAGTGGTCCACGCTGTTCCTCATCGACGGCTATGACGAACGAGCTGACATCAACGGTGACATCAGGAAGCTGATCCAGGGCAGGCTCTTCCCAGACAGTTGTGTGATCGTCTTCGCTCGCCCCGTGCACTATCCAGACCTGATGCAGTGGATGGACACAAGAGTGGAAATATCAGGATTCTCCATTCGCAGTGCGTACAGGCTGCTCCATAACTACTTTCCTGACAACCCCCACAAAGCCGCAGGACTGATAGCAGCTCTAAAGCAGTACGAGAATGTGACTGCAGTGGACGTGAAGCGGACCTCCCTGCACATTTGGCTTTTGTGTGTGCTGTGGGACGACAACCCAAAGAAGCCATTTCCAGAGACGATGACTCGGCTGTATAGTGAATTCCTGTCCTGTGTCATCCGTCATCACAAGGAGCTGACAAGGGAGGACGTTGATGTTGAGGCAGTCCTGAATCCTGTCGGGAAGATCGCGATGGATGGGCTCCTGGGGAAGAAAGCTATCTTCAACCTCAGGGACTTGGAACCGATTCAGGACGGTATCAACCTGTTGTTGGAGCTTGGCATCTTGAGGTCAGGGTCAAAGTCACTTGACATCATGGCACCATCAAGTTTGCTCTTCTCTCACACAACAATGCAGGAGTTTGTAGCGGGGAGGTATCTAGCCACACAGCTGCCACAAGATGGTCCCCACGAGCATCTGCCATTCAACACAGTCAAAGATGCCCTGGCACTTGAGAATGTCATCCTGTTTGCCTGTGGTACAGCAGCAATCGCAGGAAAAGTCATCCTGTCTCATCTGGCAAAGATATATGCAGATGAGCTCCAAGAGCACGAAGAAGCCTACTACCATGAGCAGCTGCCGACTGCGGAGTTTGAAGAGTTCAGAAGCTTCGTAGTCCTCTGTCTCAGGTGTCTGTATGAAAGCCCTATCAGAAAGGAGCTGTGTCAGAGCTGCATGCTGGACTTTCTGTCCAGACGGGTGAGGTTAGATTGGATGGGTGTGCCCTCACAGGAGAGTGTTGCCCTGCAATGTTTCCTGTGTCTTACAGCCACGGAGGGGCCCAAAAGTGCTGTAACCGACCTTACACTGTCATTCCACGATTACTCCCTCAAGAAACCAGAGTACCTGTTCAACATTCTTCACTATGTCCCCCACTTGAAGAACCTCACCGTACACCTGGGGAGCTGTTTGGAGAAAGAATGCGAAGACCTGAGTCTTCTAGACCAGCCGCTGGGCTGTCTTCGAGAACTGTGCTCTGTCCACATCACCGGGGATGCCAGACGGTTCACTGGGTTATCTTTTGCCTTCCTGAAACCATCCGAGAGCTTCACCAGCATCACTATGCAAGATGTACAGTTGGGAGGGAGGTTAGCAAGGGTGGCAGCTAACTTCAAGTACCTCCCGTGCCTTACCACGTTAAAGCTACAAGACTGCGGGCTGAGTGGAGAGGACGTGACGGCCATGTCTGAATACCTGTACCACGTCCCCCTGGAAGAGTTGGATGTGTCCTTCAATGAGCTGGGTAACGAGCTCTCTTCCCTTGTCAACAAGTTGGTGGATCTGCCCTCACTCAGGATCCTCAGTCTGTGCGACGTGTCACCCACATTCAGCACCATCGAGGCAATTGGCAAAGCACTCAAACACATGAATCAACTGGAGGAACTGTACCTGGCTCAAAATGAGGTCGATGCCTGGAACTATCGAGGGTGTTGGGAAGACTTGGTTCAGAATGTTTGCTACCTGCCGAAGCTGAGGGTGGTGGACGTCAGTCGCTGTCTGATCGGCTCACACAACATCGCGCTCCTCATCAAGAGTCTCATCCAAACCATGGTCCAGGTCATCAACATCGCCTACAACGAAGCCACCAACGAAACAATGGAAGCCATTGAAGAAAACTTGGTGCAGTTGCCATACTTGAAAACTCTGAATGTCAGCGGGAATGAGATCTCCTTCCACGGCATCTACTACTTCGGTAAAGCTCTCCACCAAGCGAGAAACCTGACAAACCTCAATGTAAGCTACAATGAGCTTGCTGACGTGGCAGTTGCCGATCTGGCAGGGCGACTGCACCAAGTTGCTGGCACTTTGCGATCGTTGGACATCAGCAGTAACCCTATCACAGAGGAGGGCCTGAAGAACTTTGCCAGCAGCATGGAACCGATGCTCGCACTGCGACAGCTGAACATGTCAGGGGCAGGGTGGCAGTCATTCCACCTGAGCAACGAAGCTGCACTGGTCATTGCACAGCTTCTCGGCCGTCTGCCAAGCTTGGTGAGGCTGGAGCTGAGGTGGATCACCATGCAGCAAGACGGCTTCCAAGCTGTGGTCAGGGCCGCCATGAAGCACCCAAAGCTACAGGAGCTGTGGTGAGTATCTGGGCAACATGATCACCCCATCCAAACATCTAATCTTTAAACATTTAATCTTTGAAAAGCACATTCAAATCAGCCTTGACTAAAAAAATTGCTTCCTAGTTCACCTAAGCTGTAACCTCGGGCCAAGCAAACTCATCAACTCCACATTGGATAGTGTCTTCCGATAGTGTTTTCAGATCAACTATTGTGCCAGTTCGGAAATGAAATGATCATGTGACGGACTGCCCCTTAAAGTGTTCAAAGGTGGCCATTGTCTGTCATACAGATCATTTCATTCCCTAACTGCCACAACTTTCAATCTGAACATGAATTCTGGATGGAGGTAGCACTTAGGAAGAAGGGACATAAGTTTTGATCCCCTAGCAGCTTGTTCTGTAACTGCAGGGGTCTTCGTTTAAAATCTTTGAACAGATTAATGTGACAATTTTGGCCCCCCTTCTTTTTCAGGTATTGCCGGGAGAAAGTCCCCAGAGGAACTGAAGCCTTGGTAGTGGAGGCAAAAAAGCTACTACACTTTGAAGATGCAAACTGAAGGTTTTTTCTTGTTTCTCCAAATTTCTCAGGATAGGCAATCGCTAACAACCATCATCTTTGAAATAGAAGACAGAATTTAGAGTGTACTGCTTTGTTCTGTAGTGGTGACTAGAGAAGTGTTGTGAGTTTAAAGAAACTGACAATCATTCATAAGCCAACGAGTTTGTAAGAATACCCAGATATTGCTGCACATTGAGGTTTTAGACTTGCTAGCTATATAGATAGTGGGATATCTTAGGTTAGATTTGAGGTAGACTTCAATATTGTAGTAATAATTGAATGTGTACATACATGTAAAAGTTGATTGTCATGCTATACTGAGGACAATATTGTCCTAACATAAGTGTGCAACAGTCTTCCTAAATTCACAGTTTCAGTAATTGCTTATCAAAGGTGGAAATTCCTCAATTATTCTACATTCACCATGTGATATTTATGCTTATTTATGCCTAAATCTATTTATGTCTAATTGCAGTAAAAATGGAACAGAATCAATCAAGTAGTGGTAGCTATAATTTATTTGAATGAAGGTAGTTACATTTACATTATAATTGCTGAGTCAATCTGTAAAGGTTTTAGATACTAGAAGTTTATAGAAAGTTTTGGGTACTTTGGTTGGATAAGCAGTTTGACATTTAATCATGCAGTTCAATTGTACAGAGAAGCTGAAAGCAAATGACTGATGTGTACAGGTGGTACAATATAGATAAATGGTAAGATAATCCAGGGCTCGAAATACTTTTTCCTGCATATGTGCACTGGTGCAGGTAACATTGAAAATTACCTGCACCAGACAGATTTTACCTGCACTACTCAGAATTTTGCAAGTACATGTATGAACAGTACTGAATACTGTTCAGAAACCACTACCATTATTTCCTTTACACTTCGTAGGTGTTCACATTTAATACAGCTAATGAAAATAAACATGAACCTATGTGCGTATCAGAAATACCTGCACAGCCACAATTTTTTTACCTGCACTAAGGTGCCGATGCACCCAGTATTTCGAGCCCTGTAATTTAAGTCGTAACATGTGCTCCAGAACTCCAAAGAATGATGGACATTTCAGGATCTTTTAGTAATTTTTATGCTTGTGTGAAAAAGTGTCAACATACCTTATGTATTGATTTGTTATTTATTTGTTGATTCAAGAAATGACAACCGCTTCTTCCGTGTCATCATGTGTATGTTGTACTATTAATAGTTTACATGTACAAGGAAACAAAAGGCTACAAACAAACTGCCATATGTAATTTACATACATGATTATGAGATTTTTATTACTAAACTCAAACTTTGCTTTTATTGACTGAACATGATAACCAATATGGCTCCACAATTTAATTATTGTCATTGAGACAACTAAAAAAAATCGTTAAATGACATTAACATTGAGTTATAAGTCTGTTTACAAATCATCAAATCCCCAAGGACAAAAATTATAAGACTAGGTGATGATTGGGTAAAAGGTTTCTTCGTCACAACCATAAGACACCAAGCCAAAATTAGATATTCACTATAAAAAGGGTTTTGGAGTTAACCTTGAATTGCAATGTAGGATTGTACCAATGTAGGTTATATTTTAACCCTTTCAATAACTGTACATATACATGATGAGACAAAATTAAATACATATGTAGTGTGTCAACTGGCCACACCAATTTATTTTCATGGTTCTTGAAGATCTGCAGGAAAACATGGAATGAGTGGGAAAATTTGAAAACGATAATAAAACATGCTTGGACATTCTGTGATTTGTCCCAATGTCACCACACCAGGCTGGGTAGTACATGGTGTACTTCAGACAAGAAATCACAGGTTTTAGGCTTCCTTAAAGTATTTGAGGGTTCTTCATGCACTCCTCAGCTTCCTGAATTGCCTGTATCTCCTGCAGAGACATTTCCTATGGATAACCTTTTGACCTGTCATTCTGCCTGTCAATCTTCTACCCAAGTGCTGTCAATCTAATCACCGTGATCTAATCTGGACAAAGCACACAGAACCAAGGCTGAGCCACCCAAAACAATACTGTTAGTATAATGTATGCCATGCAAGGATCAAAAGAGACCCCTAGCGATCAATTGCATTAGTGCAGCACTACCATACACTCCAGTGCACCAAAGCCATAGGAATGCATACCATTGATGTACAACCAGGAAGACAAGGACATTCTACAACTGTCGGGGCCAAAATTATATGTGTGGTCATTTTATTTGGCAAATCTGAGGACCAAGAAATTAACTTGGTGTGGCCTTGATACAGGACACAAGCTAGGACACTACAGTGTCTGTCATGGACAGGAAGCATGTCGAAGCACAGACATGTTAGACAATATCCTGCAATAACTTGACAAGCCTGAAGATGTCTTCAAATCAACACATTGTTTGGTAGGCCATCCACAGTTACAATACCTGTGCGTCAATGAAGGCTAGACATCCAGGTACACACACACATAATTATTTATGCCAAAAAACAGTTACTCAAGCAACTGGATATGATTTCGAAAATGGTCAGACGTTTTAGGTAGCATCCGCTATCTTTTATCAGTCACAGATAATACCTACCTGTAATTACATCCAACACCAGTAATTTGTACTTGTATAGAGACCACTCACAACATCCATGTACATATCTAAACACTGAAGATCTCACATCTATAAAGGTAGTCATTACCTGCATCTTGGAGCTTCAACTGCTGTGTATATATGTTATACATTTTTGGTGTAAACCAACATTCACTAATGTGTGTGGATGTACACATGTATATGTATATGTAGGTGTAGTTTGCATGTATTGTTACACAATACTTAGTCTGTGGTCCATAGTGTCCACACTAGGTAACAAGTGCCTCTCATTACAGTTACATTTGACTGTCAGTGAATATTATGTCTTCATTACAAATATGTCTTCATAAAGTTAGGAACATTGACAACAGCAAATACATGCAACACAAAAAGTTCACAAAGTTAAAGGTGACGAATCATATCTCTTCACCTATAGTATTCATAGTATACATGTATATGTCATTAAAAAGTTTAATCACCCTGCAGGTTAGTGTGGGTAAAATAGGTTGTGAGTGGGTATTTCTGATGTCTACGTTTATGTATAACGTTTTTATTGATTGTCACCATCTACTGTCACCTGTATGAAACAAATAGAATGGTTTCTGAACTGTTTTAGTATGATCCATACTTCTTAAATTCTGAGTGGTGTCGGTAAAACCTGTCTGGAGCTTGTAATTTTTGGTATGCAGGAAAAAGTATTTTGTCCCTGCAATGATACCATAGTGATACCATATTGATACCAATGATACTATAATGATACCATTGAGAGTGTCACTAATTCAAGTGCGCTAAATTTTGGGGGAATTTCCTCCCCTTTTGGGCAATCCACTCATGAAATCAGCTGAGCTCAAAGAAGGCACAAAGAAAAATTTAGAAGATTCTCAATGATATACATGTAACACGTAATGGTAATCATTACAAAACCGATAGATATATGATCAAGAGAGATTTTATCAGAGTGAAAGCTCATGCCTGTTTGGAGAATCCATAGTTGTAAAATTTGAGCTTGGTGTATGAACACGAGCTCTCAGGGAGGAGGCTGACATAGCCCCTGACAGTGAGAGATGTAGAACACAGGCTACCTTTGTAGTCCAAGTGGACTAGTCCAACCCTGGTCCATCAGACCACTCTGACTTGATTTTATGAATGACATCCTGCTAACACCCTGAGCCTAATGCAAACACTTGAATGACTTGTAATGGACAAAGGAAATTGTACAGGCTGTACTTGGTTTTGAAAACAAGTTATTTTCCAATAAACCCCTCACTTTTGTTCTTCAGGAGGTTGTATAGTTTTGTGTTTTACACATTTGCTCATTTTTTGTATATTTGTGGCAATTTCTGTATTTCCAAGCACAGTACATTGATTTTTAAATTTATCAATATTAAAATTAATATTGAGGAAGCATGAATGGCCAAAAGTCCTTTCACACCAGGATGTCATCCATGAAATTAGGGCAATGTGGCCTTACTTGGATCAAAGATACATGTATGTCTGTGTTTGTGTGGTCTAACCAAAGTGATTTATCAGCCTGTGTAACTAGCTAAGCAAACACTGGAAAAGATAATATAATGTAAGCGCAATGCAAAATGATAGAACCATTAAATGACTTCTGCAATGTCTTGGATGTCTTGGGTCTGATTTGTTGCACCTGAACAATCATTTAACATACTTTGGGAAAGAAGACGACACCATTTATATGCTAATGTTCCACCTGAAGACGCCTTGCGTGGCCATGATTCACGTCGCTGCCACTGGTCTTTTTTGAACGGTACGTTTTTCAGCCTTCATGTCTAGATAGAAAAGTCTCTTCTACACAAAGACTTGGTGCTTGAAAGTCGTATGTTACTGGGTGGGAGCTACATGTACTGTGTGGGATATTAAGAGCTCTTCAAGACCGTCATCTATGCACCTTTGATATGCATCTTATGATATATAGGAATATGCTTCAGCTTTCGTACACGAGTTTTGGCACTGAACGCATGAACACAATGTCAGCAGAAGTTGTGTCTCATCCGTAATTTTGAGAGTTTGGAGCTACTGAGTTTGAAGTTCCTGTCATGTTAACCTCTATCACTCACTGGCTGTGATGTCATGGCGATCGCTCGTATAACGTTAGATGCAGGGACATCGGACTCCAGAAATCTTTTTTTTTTCTAAGTAAATTTTGATTCGGCATTATTTTACTCCAGCCGGTGTAACTATGCCAGCCTCTTGAGGCATGCGGACGACATCGCTACTCCATGTGCACAGTTCTGGCAGAGGACGCCGGGAAGGTTGTTCCATGGAGTCGCCCCACTACAGCTCGTTCGTTACGTCACCGGTAAGGCAGTCAAAATAGCCAACATAACAAATGAGTAGTATACGAATATCAGTGATACATTGTTCAAGCAAATAGTTATACAGAGTGGGTTATCAAATTTTGATAGCTTTAAACCCTTTAGGTATTGGTGTGATAACTAAGCTATTGAGAGTGCATAGCTAGAGACTCAAAATTGGACTTCATAGTGCTTTCTTAAGCTGCAAAGTTTACCATCTCTTCTTAATTCAAATAAATCACACCTGATCATGAGTCCTTCACCCGACGGTGAAAATGAACGGTTTGTTCCATTTTCGAGAGTAAAGCATGTAAGATTAGAATGCCACTCCTAACACCAGATGGACACGCCAATGCCAAGGTGTTATGCTAGATGGCTGTGACACCAGATGGCAAGTAGCGTGATCTAATAGTCAAAATGTAGAAATGCAAAATAATAAACCAGAAATCAACTACTGTAGTATTTGCAAGACATACAGCTATTTCTCTCACTGGTCGGACCGCCAATTGCTATCCCATTATTGGTTGAATGATAATTGTGATGGTTAGTCAGGGCGGGTCTATTCCGATTCAGAATGCGTCATCAGTGACGACTACTGTGTTCTGTTGCAGTGGTCTGCGAACCGGCGGAGGTTTGTGGTGTACCGCGTGGTGTGCGCCCTGCTCACCCTCAGTATCCTCATCTACAGCATCCCCACGGACAGCAACAGGTGGTTCACGTACTTCACCAACTGGGCGTACACGGTCTTCACCCTCCACTTCTGCTGGGCCGCTGCCGTCTGCGTTCAAGACTACCGTCACGCCTCTGATAACCAGCGGGGCAAATTGACCGGTGGCCCGGTGAAGACACCACTGAAGATCGGCTGGGTGATCTACAACATCGCCATGGCTAGCTCGTTTTTCGTGTCAGCTGAATACTGGATGTCCCCTTGGCCGGTCACCCTTGGTTTCCGCAGCTTCTTGCGCCACACCCTGAACTCCATCATGGCCGTCACAGAGATCATGGTCAGCGGGATCCCGTCACGTCTCGACCACGTGGCTTTCCCCGTTCTCTTCGGAATCATCTACAACACCTTTGTGCTTCTGTACTGGCTGTTCGACTGCCGTGGATACGACGGAAACCCGTACATCTACTCTTTCCTGGACTTGAACACGGTCCCGCTGCAGGCTGTTGTCATTATGACAGGCAGCAACTTTGTGATCATGCCGGCCGCTCACGCCTTGGTGTGTGTCTTGTACCAGACCCGCCTTGTGCTGCTGGGCAGGTTCAGGAAGAGAAAAGCTGACAAGGTCAAGCTTACACCTTGGCAGAACAGCATCATTCCTGTTGGTGTCAACAATAATGTGATGGTGGATACATTATCGAGTACAGGCGAGCAGATAGTCTGAAACAACACATGGAACATGTAACCTGACGACTGATGTTTTGTTTTCTTTCTTTTCTGATTCAGAAAATTCACTCACTTAATTTTGTGAAAAAACGGATATAACTAACGGACAATAAAGGCAGCTTTCGCTGAGCAGCAGAGAACATCTTAGCGTCGCATTTCATATCCCTGCTGTCTTCTGTTGATACTAGTAAAGTTCCAGTCGTTTTCATTATATATAGAGAGGTACATGTTTTCACTCACTATGTTGGTGGGGGTAGCGACAAAAAAACCCGGCCATATATAAAAAGCTAACGATCGTTCCGGCCCCCACAACCTCTGCTTGGAGAGTAGATATTACTGCTACATGTACGCGTTGTATTGCCTCCTAGCGGCTGATGTTCAAAGTACAGGCGTTGACCTACTTACTGCATGCCATGATTCAGTCAAATGGTTTCTGACACTGAACTCTAGCTCACACTCAATGTTCCTTTTCTCATA